GAGGAAAACTGAATAATGACGATTCTTTTGATCAGGTGAGCTCGAGTGAATGGGTATGAATATGACTTGCTGGTGTCTATTTATTTATTTGTTTATTCTCTATCTGGCTTAATCAGTTTTATGGTTGTGCGCTGTGCTTAATTTAGATTTTTAGATTTGTAATTAAAGAAATAGCAGCTGTAGTTGATATTTGCCGATAACATTTTGTTGACTATACATTTTCACACCTTAGGACAAAACCATAACCTTTCGATGTTTTATAGAAAATTGGATACAGACACCGTCTTCTTCTTCTTCTTATTATTATTATTATTATTAGTTTATTTTTCCAGTTGCACTCAGTCAGGTAAGAGTTTGTGTGTGCTTTTGTTCGCGTGCAATGAGTCACAATAAATCGTTCCTGTATTACTTAAGGACTGATTTTCCGAGCCCGGTCTCATGAAAATGCGTATCAATAGCACGTTTTTCGGTTTCTATTTTGCGTGCTATTTATATGCAGAAACCGCGTGCATTTAATACGCAATGTCTTGGCGTGCATATGATACGCAGGCTTGGCGTACAAATAATACGCACATACCCCACAACCCTAATACTTCCTAACCATTGTGTATCATATGCACGACAAAGTCAATTTCTTTGTATAAATAGTAAGCTAAATAGAAATATAAACTCGTGGTATTGATACGCATATTCATGAGATCGGGTTAGATTTTCCGCACGACAAGGACTACAACGACAGCCTGGCTTTCTATCTGGTCTTGGCCTTGGCTGTAGTTTCGTTTCTCTTTATCGTGTCTATCATTGCCATACTGTCAGTCAAATGTCACAGATGGAGACGTGAGCAGATGTTTTACAAACCTGGAGTGAATATTGGTTATTCCGTGTTATCCGCTTCTTAACGCAGACGTAGGGGGGCACAGGAACTTTACAGCACGTATACAACTATGAGGTTTGCAGAACCACTGACTCCAGAAAGAGTGATCTGAAATATGTCAGACTTTGCAGTGAGAGCATCATTAGTCTGGACAGCCCTGAAACACAGACACTTACGCATAAGTAGAGAGGAAAACTGAATAATAAGTATTCGTTTGATCGGGTGAGCTGGTGTGAATGGTTATGAATATGACTTTCTGGTGTCCATTTATTTATTTATTTATTTATTCTCTTTCTAGCTTCATCAGTTTTATTGTGCACTGTATTTTTTTGTTTTATTTTTTAGATTTATAATTTATAATTTAAGCAGCTGTAGTTGAAATTTACTTTACCGATAGCATTTTCAAGACTATTCATTTGTCACACTTTTTCATATCTAAACCATAACTTTAGAAAAATATATATTTTATAGGAAATTGCATGCAGACAGTCTTTTTTTATTTTTCCTAGTTGCGCTAAGACGTTTTTGTTGTGCGTATGTGTGCACGCATGAGCGAGTCTCATTGAATCGTACTTGCATTACTGGGGCTATATAGTTTATGTTTTGCTTTTGACTATTTTCCTTTCCTTCTATTCTTAGATGTTCGGTTTAGAACATAATTTTATTAATATTTCAGCAAAATTCTGCGTTAATGCAGAGTACACTACTTTGGTCGCAATTCATGTCATTTTCTGTATTGCTCTTTAACAGCATTTTTAGTGTAATATTTATTTGATGCACTAAGTGACGCTGTTGGTCAGTATGTTCGGGCTTTAAACATTCGTTTTTAGATCCTCCTCCACTTTCTGACATCATACAGTCTGCAGAATATTTCTTTCATTCAGACGATCTCTGTTTGACACTGATGCATCGAGAAATTCTCTGCCTTGTGTTTTCGTATTAACTTTGATATTCTTCAATCTCCCTGAATATTTTGTGCTTGGTCTTCTCTTCTGTAGTGGAGCAGAAGATTTGGATTATGTCAGTTCTTTGTTGTTTTTATGCCCAAAGAGGCGCATCTTTGACGCGGATTTCATCATGGCTAATGCAGCATCTCCTGCTGTGCGTCGTTGTCATGGCCGTTGCGCGCGGGCAGGTCCGTTATTCTATTCCAGAGGAAATGACAAAGGGCTCCCTTGTGGGAAATATCGTTCAGGATCTCGGTTTGGATGTAAAGAGGCTGAAATCTGGTCGAGCGCGGATCTTTACGGAGGACAGTCGTGAGTACATCGGTCTGAATGTGGATAAAGGGACTCTGCTAGTGAAAGAGAGGATAGATAGAGAGGAGCTGTGCGCCCACGTGTCTCCCTGCTCCTTACATTTTCAGATTATTCTAGAAAATCCCATGGAGCTGCATAGAATTGATGTGGAAATATTAGATATTAATGACAATGCTCCTGTTTTCACACGTCGAGAAATACAGTTTCAAATAAGTGAATCAGCTACACCTGGAGCCAAATTTTCTTTAGATAATGCGCAAGATTCTGATGTGGGTTTAAATACCCTTCAGAAATACACACTATATCCGACTGATCATTTTTCTCTGAAAGAACAGATGGGAAATGATGGATTGAAATATGTTGAAATGGTTCTACAAAAAACACTAGACAGAGAAAATCAAGAGGAGCATACATTAATATTGACTGCGTTTGATGGCGGCAGTCCTCAGAAATCAGGCACTATTAAAATAAGTGTTCTTGTAATCGACGCAAATGACAATGCTCCTGTGTTTAGTCTCCCCGTGTATAGAGTTTCCTTACTGGAGAATTCCCCAAAGGGCACTGATGTCGTGAGCGTGACTGCCACTGATAAAGACAAAGGAACGAATGCTGAACTGAGGTATTCCTTTTCACAAACTTCAGGAAAGGCTTTAGAGCTTTTCAATATAGATTCAGAAAGTGGTGACATTACTGTTAACGGTGACCTGGATTTCGAGAGGTCAAAACATTTTCAATTGCATGTTGAAGCAACAGATAAAGGTGGCTTAACAGATTCCAGTAAAGTTATTATCGAATTAATTGACGTTAATGACAATGCACCCATTATAAGCTTCATTTCATTTTCTAACCCAATACCCGAGGACGCAGCGCCGGAGACTGTGATAGCGATGCTGAATGTCAAAGATATGGATTCGGGGAGAAACGGACAGGTTAAATGTTCTATTGCTCTAAATTTGCCATTCAAAATACAGTCATCCGCCTTAAATTTCTATAGTGTGACAACCGATCAATTATTAGATCGTGAAAAAATGTCTGAATATAATATCACAATAACAGCTATGTCAGTCATACACAGCATATGTGATGGAAAATAATTCACCCGGAGTCTCTGTTTTATCTGTTAAAGCGCATGACAAAGACTCTGGCAATAACGCGCGTATTTCATATTTTGTAGAAGATATTCTTGTGAATGGCATCTCTGCCTCGACGTTTATTTCAGTGAATGCAGAGAGCGGAGAGATTGTTGCTGTTCGTTCGTTTGATTATGAGCAAACAAAAGAATTTAACATTCGCGTAAAAGCGCAGGACGGAGGAAATCCTCCTCTCAGCAGCAACGTGAGCGTGAAAATAATAATTCAGGACAAGAACGACAACGCGCCTCAGGTTCTGTATCCGGTCCAGTCAGGCGCTTCTGTGGTGGCTGAAATAGTGCCTCGTTCGGCAGATGTGGGTTATCTGGTGACTAAAGTGGTGGCTGTTGATGTGGACTCTGGACAGAATGCCTGGCTCTCATATAAACTGCAGAAAGCCACAGACAGGGCGCTGTTTGAAGTGGGCTTACAGAATGGAGAAATAAGAACTGTGCGCCAAGTGACAGATAAAGATGCTGTGAAACAAAGACTCACTGTTGTAGTGGAGGACAACGGGCAGCCCTCTCGATCAGCTACAGTCAATGTTAACGTGGCGGTGGCGGACAGCTTCCCTGAAGTGCTCTCGGAGTTCACTGACTTTACGCACGACAAGGACTACAACGACAACCTGACTTTCTATCTGGTCTTGGCCTTGGCTGTAGTTTCGTTTCTCTTTATCGTGTCTATCATTGCCATACTGTCAGTCAAATGCTACAGATGGAGACGCGAGCGGATGTTTTACAAATCTGGAGCGAATCTTCCAGTTATTCCGTATTATCCGCCTCTTTACGCAGACGTAGGGGGCACAGGAACTTTACAGCACGTGTACAATTATGAGGTTTGCAGAACCACTGACTCCAGAAAGAGTGATCTGAAATACGTCAGACCTTGCAGTGATATCATCATTAGTCTGGACAGCAGCGGAACACAGACACTCACGCATGCGCAGAGAGAAAAACTGAATATTGAGGAGTCTTTTGATCAGGTGAGCTCCAGTGAATGATCGTGAATGTGACTTTTTGGTGTCCATTTATAATTTTTTCTCTTTCTGGATTCGTCAGTTTTATGGTTGTATACTGTACTTGTTTTATTTTTTAGATTTATAATTAAAGAAATAGCAGCTGTAGTTGAAATTTGCAGATGACATTTTGGTGACTGTACATTTTTCATACTTCATATCAAAACCATAACCTTTCGATGTTTTATTAAAAAAATGAGATACAGACACTGACTTTTAAATTATTATTATACTTTTCCAGTTGCGCTCAGTCAATCAAGATTTTTTTTTAAGTGTGCTTATGTGTGCGCATGAGTAAGTCGCAGTGAATCGTACCTGTATTACTGAAGGGCTATATTATAGTTTATGCTTTGCTTTTGAGTATTTTCTTTTCATCATATTCTGGGTGTTCGTTTCAAAACATCGTTTTATTCATATTTCAGCAAAATTCTGCCTTAACGCAAAATAAATACTATTTTGGTCGCAATTCATGTCATTTTCTGTATTGCTCTTTCATTTTTTTTTTTTCAGTGTAATGTTTCTCTGATGCACTAAGTGCCGCTGTTGGTCAGTATGTTCGGGCTTTAAACACTAATTTTTAGATCCTCCTCTACTTTCTCTCATCACATCTGCAGAATCTCTCACTCAGACGGTCTCCTCTTTACACTAAAGCATCGAGATATTTATTCGCTGCCTTGTATTTTCGGATGAACTTTTATATTTTTCACCCTTTCTGAATCTGTTTTTAATCTTTTCTTCTGTAGTGGAATAGAAGATTTGGATTATGTCGGTTCTTTGTTGTTTTTACGCCCAAAGAGGCGCATCTTCGACGCGGATTTCATCATGGCTAATGCGGCATCTCCTGCTGTGCGTCTTTGTCATGGCCGTTGCGCGCGGGCAGGTCCGTTATTCTATTCCAGAGGAGATGACAAACGGCTCGCTTGTGGGAAATATCTTTCAGGATCTCGGTTTGGATGTTAAGAGGCTGAAATCTGGTCGAGCGCGGATCTTTACGGAGGACAGTCGTGAGTACATCGGTCTGAATGTGGATAAAGGGACTCTGCTAGTGAAAGAGAGGATAGATAGAGAGGAGCTGTGCGCCCAAGTGTCTCCCTGCTCCTTACATTTTCAGATTATTCTAGAAAACCCCATGGAGCTGCATAGAATTGATGTAGAAATGTTAGATATCAATGACCATGCTCCTGTTTTTGCTAGAAAGGAGATTGATTTTCAAATAAGTGAATCTGCTCTTCCCGGGGCTAGATTTTCATTAGACAGCGCCCAGGATCCTGACACTGGCACTAACGCGCTCAAGTCCTATATGTTAAATCCAACAGAGAATTTTGATATAAAGGTCCTGTCACGAAACGATGGCTCAAAATACGTCGAAATGGTTCTTCAAGTGCCTTTAGACAGAGAGACTCAGCAGGAACACAAATTAACCCTTACAGCCTTCGATGGCGGCAGTCCTCATAAAACTGGCACCGTTAGGATAAGTGTTACGGTCATAGACGCAAACGATAATGCCCCTGTTTTCAGTCTACCTGTTTACCGTGTGTCTTTATTTGAGAATTCACCGATTGGCGCTGTAGTAATCAAGGTAAGCGCTACTGATAATGACCAAGGCGCAAACGGTGAGATTGCGTATTCTTTTTCACGCAGTTCTGGAAAAGCACTTGATTTATTCCATATTGACACAAATACAGGTGAAATAACCGTAGGAGGGGATTTAGATTATGAGAGGGCGAAGCAGTTTGAGTTAAACATAGATGCTACGGACAAAGGTGGCTTAACAGATTCTAGTAAAGTGGTAATCGACATTATAGATGTAAATGACAACCCCCCTGTAATAAGCGTGATTTCATTTTCTAACCCAATACCCGAGGACGCAGCTCCAGAAACTGTTATAGCGATGCTGAATGTCAAAGATTTAGATTCAGGGAGAAACGGGCAGGTTAAATGTTCTATTGCTCCAGATTTGCCGTTCAAAGTAAAGTCATCTGCGCAGAATTTCTACAGTTTGATCACTGATGAAAATTTGGACCGTGAAAAAATGTCTGAATATAATATTACAATAACAGGTATTGACGAAGGCTCGCCTTCTTTCTCTACTAATAAAACACTGACTCTAAAAATATCTGATGTTAATGACAACACCCCTGAGTTTCGGAGTCAGTCATACACCGCATATGTGATGGAAAATAATTCGCCCGGAGTCTCTGTTTTATCTGTTAAAGCGCATGACATACAGCACGTGTACAATTATGAGGTTTGCAGAACCACTGACTCCAGAAAGAGTGATCTGAAATACGGCAGACCTTGCAGTGAGAGCATCATTAGTCTGGACAGCAGCGGGACACAGACACTCACGCATGCGCAAAGAGGAAAACTGAATAATGAGGATTATTTTGATCAGGTGAGCTGGTGTGAATGGTTATGAGTATGACTTTCTGGTGTCTGTTTATTTATTTTTTATTTATTCTCTTTCTAGCTTCATCAGTTTTATTGTGCACTGTATTTTTGTTTTATTTTTTAAAATTTATAATTCATAATTTAAACAGCTGTAGAAATGTACTGTACCGATATCATTTTCGAGACTATACATTTGTCACACTTGTTCATATCAAAACCATAACTTTTAAATATTTAATAGGAAATTGCAAGCAGACACTGTCTTTATTTTCCTAGTTGCGCTAAGAGGTTTTTGTTGTGCATATGTGTGCACGCATGAGCGAGTCTCATTGAATCGTACTTGTATAGGGCTATATATTGTAGTTTATGTTTTGCTTTTGACTATTTTCCTTTACTTATATTCTTAGATGTTCGGTTTAGAACATAATTTTATTAATATTTCAGCTAAAGTCTGCGTTAATGCAAAGTACTCTACTTTAGTTTGGTCGCAATTCATGTCATTTTCTTTTTTGCTCCTCAACAGCATTTTTAGTGCAATATTTCTTTGATGCACTAAGTGCCGCTGTTGGTCAGTATGTTCGGGCTTTAAACATTCGTTTTTAGATCCTCCTCCACTTTCTGACGTCACATTCTGCAGAATATTTCTTTCATTCAGACGATCTCTGTTTGACACTGATGCATCGAGGAATTCGCTGCCTTGTGTTTTCGGATGAGCTTTGATATTTTTTCAATCTCCCAGAATATTTTGTGCTTGGTCTTCTCTTCTGTAGTGGAATAGAAGATTTGGATTATGTCAGTTCTTTGTTGTTTTTACGCCCAAAGAGGCGCATCTTCCACGCGGATTTCATCATGGCTAATACAGCATCTCCTGCTGTGCGTCTTTGTCATGGCCGTTGCGCGCGGGCAGGTCCGTTATTCTATTTCAGAGGAAATGACAAAGGGCTCGCTTGTGGGAAATATCGTTCAGGATCTCGGGTTGGATGTTCAGAGGCTGAAATCTGGACGAGCGCGGATCTTTACGGAAGACAGTCGTGAGTACATCGGTCTGAATGTGGATAAAGGGACTCTGGTAGTGAAAGAAAGGATAGATAGAGAGGAGCTGTGCGCCCACGTGTCTCCCTGCTCCTTACATTTTCAGATCATTCTAGAAAATCCCATGGAGCTGCATAGAATTGATGTGGAAATATTAGATATTAATGACAATGCTCCTGTTTTCACACGCCGAGAAATACAGTTTCAAATAAGTGAATCAGCTACACCTGGAGCCAAATTTTCTTTAGATAAGGCTCAAGATTCTGATGTGGGTTTAAATACCCTTCAGAAATACACACTATATCCGACTGATCATTTTTCTCTGAAAGAACAGATGGGAAATGATGGATTGAAATATGTTGAAATGATTCTACAAAAAACACTAGACAGAGAAAATCAAGAGGAGCATAAATTAATATTGACTGCGTTTGATGGCGGCAGTCCTCAGAAATCAGGCACTATTAAGATAAGTGTTCTTGTAATCGACGCAAATGACAATGCTCCTGTGTTTAGTCTCCCCGTGTACAGAGTTTCCTTACTGGAGAATTCACCAAAGGGCACTGATGTCGTGAGCGTGACTGCCACTGATAAAGACAAAGGAACGAATGCTGAACTGAGGTATTCCTTTTCACAAACTTCAGGAAAGGCTTTAGAGCTTTTCAATATAGATTCAGAAAGTGGTGACATTACTGTTAACGGTGACCTGGATTTCGAGAGGTCAAAACATTTTCAGTTAAACGTTGAAGCAGCTGATACAGGTGGCTTGACCGATTCCAGTAAAGTTATTATCGAATTAATTGATATTAATGACAATGCGCCCATGATAAGCTTAATTTAATTTTCTAACCCAATACCCGAGGACGCAGCGCCGGAGACTGTGATAGCGATGCTGAATGTCAAAGATATGGATTTGGGGAGAAACGGACAGGTTAAATGTTCTATTGCTCTAAATTTGCCATTCAAAATACAGTCATCTGCCTCAAATTTTTATAGTGTGACAACCGATCAATTATTAGATCGTGAAAAAATGCCTGAATATAATATCACAATAACAGCTATTGATGAGGGCTCGCCTTCTTTCTCTACTAATAAAACACTGACTCTGAAAATATCTGATGTCAATGACAACGCCCCTGTGTTTCAGCGTCAGTCATACACCGCATATGTGATGGCAAATCATTCGCCCGGAGTCTCTGTTTTATCTGTTAAAGCGCATGACAAAGACTCTGGCAATAACGCGCGTATTTCATATTTTCTAGAGGATTTTCTTGTGAATGGCGTCTCTGCATCGACGTTTATTTCAGTGAATGCAGAGAGCGGAGAGATTATTGCTGTCCGTTCGTTTGATTATGAGCAAACAAAATAATTTAACATTCACGTAAAAGCGCAGGACGGAGGAAATCCTCCTCTCAGCAGCAACGTGAGCGTGAAAATAATGATTCAGGACCAGAATGACAACGCGCCTCAGGTTCTGTATCCGGTCCAGTCAGGCGCTTCTGTGGTGGCTGAAATAGTGCCTCGTTCTGCAGATGTGGGTTATCTGGTGACTAAAGTGGTGGCTGTTGATGTGGACTCTGGACAGAATGCCTGGCTCTCATATAAACTGCAGAAAGCCACAGACAGGGCGCTGTTTGAAGTGGGCTTACAGAATGGAGAAATAAGAACTGTACGCTAAGTGACAGATAAAGATGCTGTGAAACAATGACTCACTGTTGTAGTGGAAGATAACGTCTCAGGTTACTTATGTAACCATGGTTCCCTGAGTAGGGAACGAGACACTGCGTCCTCTAAGGGTCGCTATGGGGAACGCCTCGTCGTGACCCGTGTCTGAAGCATACATTGAAAAAACACCAACAACACGTTGGCCGGCGACAGCCATGACGTCACTACCGGTGCGACTATAGTATAAATAGGCGCCGGGAGCACACATCATTCACTTCTTCGTCTGAAGCTTGCGTCCGCAGCATGGCAAGAAACCTAGAGGAC